TTATGGTTTTTTTTGCTGGAGCAGTGGATGGAGTTTGTTATTGTTGATGATGGTGCTTGTGGCGGCAGCACAGCAGCGTCTGCAGCGACATTCATGGCGATGATTCGGCCGCCTGCGAAAGAGTAGCGATCCACAGACTGCAGCCCGCCCGGCAACTGGGTGTTAGCCATTAGCCGACCCATAGTCAGCCCTTCGCTTCTGGGAACCTTCATAGCAGACGCAGATTAGTGCGCAGTTTCGACCCTGTTGGGGGGGGGGGGGGGGTAGCCGCCCCGAACCTTGCTCGAACCTGGTGATCTCCGCCATGTTGCTTCCTGCCGCTGTGGCAGCGACCGCTCGAACGAGCGATAAAACAACGCTGAAGGATAAATGGCAAAGCGAACGCTAAGACAGTCAGTGGGTTGTCACAGTCTGAGGTACAGAATTGCTAGCTCAAAAGTTAAGCGAATGTGCATCACATCACTCAGGTGTCGCGTAAGTGCGTGATGCAGAAAGCTTAACGATGGCGGGAAAACTCCGAAAGGGCATATAGTCAATTAATTCAGCTGGCTGACAGTTGGTTGAAGCGAAAGCTGGCCTACCAATAGAGTAAAGCAATTCGCTGGGTTTTGTTGGCTTGGCGACAGGAATGGCGAACACATCAACGCATCTGAGGCAGACGGCGGTTAACGCAAATCTATTAGGTGAAAATTTTATAAGCTCTTTAATTATTATGTATGTGTGCTGGCCACCCTGCACGCACCTATAGCACGAAGCAAGATAGGAAAGGCTGACTTCGTCGAGGGAATATTTGACGTCAGTCTAACAACAACGATGCAGGCTTTGCGTAATATACACTTATCAGATTTTTTTTATTTATTTATTATGAAATAATTTAAATGTCAATAATAAGCAGACTAAAAGTACGAGGACGAGCTACCAAATGTGTTCTTTGCCAAAAACATACTTATGGGCTAAAGCTCGCAGGCGACAAACGCCTACGCTGATTTCCAAGACGTTTTTAACGTCACATGTAACAGTCATGCTGAACTATGCGATAATGCACCACGGACCGTTGTTTGACAAATTGTCATCACTATTTATTTTGGCGATCACTGACGCATAGAGGATGGCATAATTTTCCGTCCTCAAACGCCGCTCTAACTCATACATTCACTGTTATTTCAATTTACAACATAATCTAGATAAGATTAATAAGCACCACTTGTTTGTCAGCAGCAGCCGTTGTTATATGGCTGTCTATATATCGATATATCACCACCGGTGAAGCTTAGACTCAACTGGTCCGAACAGACACAAAACGTAAGCCAAGTGATTTGTCTGCTGCCATAGCTGTGACGTCAGCTATGGCAGCAGCGTTTTTACGTGTCTCCTCCAGAATTTCTGAAGTCGAGCGATTTTTACTGGCTATCGCGCCGATTGTAACAGCAATAAGGTAATTCTGCCGTAGCCCGTTTTCCACTAACCACTCCTCTCATGGCACACACTTCGAAGGGCAGATCAGGTCTACGCAGAGATGATTTACAATGAACCAAGTTTGCGTACGCTATCGTACGCCGGGCCAGTGCTACGTTTCTCTATACTGCGTAATCTAGCCAGCGCAACGTCGTGGTACAACGCAGCGGTAAATTAATCTCTATGCCCGTGGACAACGGCAAACCAATCCTTGGCAATAGCGCGGACGGCGACGACCGCAGTCCATAATAGGCGAAGCGTACTACCAGCGTTACTGTGCACTGCCGTCAAGCAACCTACGGCTGCTTTCGAGATGGCAAGTCACTGACCTGTACAGCAGTCATTTGGCCCGACATCCACGATCAGCCGCCACCAGCGACGGAGGCACTGGCGTTCGAATGATGTGGCTAACGCCACTAGCAGCATACGGGAGACAGATTGTCGCTGACAAACATCTGTTCGAAACGGAACAGTGTCCTTTAGCCACCCGGCCGGCCTGCTAACCGACGGCACGGCCGGTGACCACTTACACACACGCACACGGACCCATATAGGGACAAACGCATACCTACACAGAATATAGAACATCGGATTAGCGTTGTCTTCTTTGAAATCTGCAATTATGAAGATGTTTATAGAGAAGTGTGAGCGTAATTGCGAAATCTTCGCTTGACGTACCCTATTGCACGATAGATTTTATTCAATAATGTAAAGAGACTTTGTTAGTTTTTTTATATCGTTTACATAGAAAAAAGAACGAACTACTCTGCAGTTCAGTATAGTTTGTTTTGCTGAAAAGTGGCTTTGTAAAGCGCCTACTCGGACTGCTTTACGCCTGGAAGTTCAGTCAAGCACCAGGTTATTACATTCTACTAAGGATTAGCGTGATCGTTATTATCCGTTGCATTACTAAATCGGAGTCGAGTTCAGCCGGCCTTAGGCTGGATTACGCCTTACACTAAGCTGCCCTAAGCACATTAGATTAGGCCAAATCATGTTTAGCTTGATTAGCCAGACATGTAGCGTGTCTAGCTAAATATATATGTATATGTATGCTCGGACAGTGGTGTCATTCTCGCCAACACCGTCATTCTACCGGTTGGATACGCCGGCCCAAGGACAACTCTGCTGACCTAAATCGGCAGAGTTGCTTTTGCGTTAGCCGAGCTGTCGGCCGCATTCGCCCGAGTGCTTAAAAAGCAGCTTCCTCAACTGGAAGGGGCAAAGGGGCAGAAGTTTACGGGAAGCTAGGACGGAGCCAATAAGGGGGCGACGCTGTCAAGGGTATACCACGCTGAGATATAGCCCCCGAAGGAGCTTTCAGATTTAAAAAAGCGACGAGAAAGACGTCACATTGTATCATTGGGTTCCGCAATGGTCCTGCTGCAGCTGTTGCCTACTCCAGCGTTGACATCGCCCTCATCGCCGAAAAACTGTTGGCTTTGGCAGAGTCAAGGACAGAGTCGCTCAATTTTCTGACAAAGCCGGTCCTAGTGAAAGTTGCCATTGACTCGCTGCCAAGCTGTTGTAGATGTATAATAATTACCTGTAAGGCTAGTTCAAAATAAGCTTCCTGCTGAGGTATCATGCGAGCAGCATAGCACAGTCATGTTTGCACATCTCAACTCGACCGCCTAGGCACACAGATGCGGCCTGCATCCAGACAAGCCAGGAAAGGCACTGCCCTCGCAAGGCTACAAGGAACACCGAGTAAAATAAGATTCTAGCTACAGCCTAATAAAGTCACTGCGACTACCAGTGAGAAAAGGCGCAGCAGCTAATAGGGAATGGAAAATATCAAAACGTTTTATAAGCAGTGGAAGAAAAATGGGGGTCCTATGACAGGAGAAGAACAACGCCTCACTGTCAGAGGCACTTAGAACAGCTCTCAGACATAGAGAGGAGGTAGTCAGGGCTCCGGCAGAAGCGGTAACAACGGCCGCAGCATTGGAAGAAGCAAGTGACGGGGGTTGCTGCTGCTGCTGATGGTACCAAGCAAAGAGAGGCGCATCGTAATGCAATAGGAGTCCGACAGTCTTCAACAAACGTAAACAACCGGCCTCGAAGGGGCGTGGCCTATTGGCCTGGGCCCATCTCCACTCGCTACCACGAACACAATCTCTCTTTCCCAGTCACGGTCGCCGCTGCTACGCACACAGCACAGCTGATCAACAGCTGATCGCCCACCGGGTGATCGCCGGATGAGAGCGGATAAGCAGACACATACCGGCGCTCTAAGTGTGGCTGTTACTTTCTTTTGTCAAGAACAAGTATCCTACCTCTTGCTACCAAGTTACTATACGTACCCGCTGAGTGATGGGACCATTGATTCATCACTATTTTGCCAATCTACATCTTGTCGGTTTAGTGGACCGATTTCAACTTAAAATCAGCTGCTGCCACAGCCGTTTCGATAGGAACGACGGTCCAAAACGATCTTTTTTGCCTCTTTCGTTTGTTATTTAAGCCGTTTGGTACCCAAACTTCAAGCACAAAAAAAGATACTCCTGCTATATAGCAGTAACTGACTGACTGACTGACTGACTGACTGCCTGCCTGCATGTGTGTCTAAGAACCAACGGCCGGCGCACTTACGCACGAAGGCCGGAGGAACAAAATGACGGCAACGGCCGCCAAAACAGCGGCGCGAAATAGGTCATCGTTGCTCATTTCGCCGATTGGCTGCGTTGAGTCATGTGACCGAAGTCGCTCTCTCCTTCGTCAGTCAGCTGGCCGAACGGCTGGCCGGCATCGGGGGTGCCGGCCGGTGCCTGCGAACGTCTGTTTCCATGTAGTTGGTCTGTTGTTGTCTGTTGGAGTGGCCGGGTGTGTGTGTGTGTGTGTGTGTGTGAGTGTGCAAGTGTGTATGGGTGTGTGCGTGTGCGTCAGTTGTGGCATGTTTGGAGGATAAGGGTATATGTCGTCTGAATGCCGGCTGTGTGTTAGTGTGCGTGTCTATATATGTGAGTGTGCGTGTGTATAGTAGTGTGTGCATATATATATGTGTGTGTGTGTTAGTGTCTGAGTGTGTGTGAGTGTCCGTGAGTGAGTGTGAGTGTGAGCCTGTGAGTGAGTGTGTTAGTATGTGTGTGTCTGTGTGTGTGTGTATGGGTGTGTGTGTATGTGTGTGTGTGTATGGGTGTGTGTGTATGGGTGTGTGTGTGTGTGGGTGTGTGTGTGTGTGTGTGTGTGTGTGTGTGTGTTGTGTGTGTGTGTGTGTGTGTGTGTGTGTGTGTGTGTCTACGAGAGCGTGGGTATTTGTGTGAGTGCGCATGTGTGTGACCGTGAGTGCGCGCGTGTGTGCGTACTAGTGGACGCGTGGATGGGTGCGCGTTTGTCCGTGAATGCGCGTCGCGTGTGAGTGTACGCGTGTGTGCATGTGTGCCTAGTCCAGAGATCTTATCTTATGTAATCGTTGTGCGTGTAAATTGTACGAGCGTCCGCGTCTGTGTAGGTTCAGATGAACAGCTGGGTTTGTCAGTCAGTTGGGCTGTATTGCTGGCCAGTTTCCGTCGACATGTCCACCGGCCGGTTGGTCGGTCGACCAGTCGATTGACCGCCCTTGGCATCATCATTATCCGCTTAGCCGCTGACCTCACACCCACTGATCAATGCGTTAACACTGTGCTGCTATGCCTCACCTCTCGACACGTATGCCACCGCCCACCATCTACTACTACCCATCGAATTTCGATGTGAAACCCACTTGCTTCGTTGACATTAAACAACTATTTCGAGTTTTCTATTTGCTTCCACAGTGTTAGTTAGACACGTTATCTCGTACGACTGACGGTTGCTGCTTCCAGCATAAAAGCAATCGGCGATGCACCAATTCTACGCGACGCCGCTAGCTAAGGTCGGCCGTATCAAGCTCTAATGCTATTGAGAGCTGAGCTGCCCGGCATCAGAATCGGCGCTGTCGCCGGCCGGCCGGCCGGCCGGCCGGCTATTTGGTTGGTTAGTTTGGTCTCTGGACGGATGCATGTACAAACTCGATGGCGTGTGTACGTGTGCGTCTGTGTGTCCTAGCGATGTTGTAAGTTGGTTCCTGTTTGTGTGTTTTGCCGCTGCGTGTGAATATGTCTGTGTCATAGCTCAATGTATGTCTGTGTGTTTATGGGTGTACGTCTCTTCTCGACAAGACAAATGCAGCCGATGCGGCAGCCGGCGCCGCCGCTGCCGCGGCCGACGGCGCTGATGCTGCTGTTACCGGGTGGGAGAGGGTAACCATAACAGAGAAACAGCGACAGCGGCCAAACAGCTGACGAACGCAGCAGCTGCAGCTGCAGCTACGGCGAACCGCAGCGGCCCGACAGACGAGTCGCTCGCTCTCTTAGCTGGTTTGCCTGTTGTAGTTGAGTGGCGGTGTTCGTGGTGGTACGGTGACTGGCTAGCGACAGCCTGGTAGACAGACAAGCACAAGCGGTTGTTTCGTTAGTTATTCGTGCGATTGGATCGTTGGTTGATTCGGTCGGTCGGTCGGTCGGTTGGTTGCTGCTGCTTTAAGACTGTTTCGTCAAAACGTCGTCGTTGCTGTTATAATATCTCACGGTTTAGCATTGGACGAAGGCTCGTTTCGACCGGAGTAGAGGCCGGTCCTTTTCTAGCGGTGGTCAGAATCAGCGATTTACAGTGGCAGCCACAGCAGCAGCGGTGGCGGCGGTGGCGGTAGCAGCAGCAGCTGGAAAGCCGACGGTCAGCTGAGCTGAATGAGCGAAAACGATTTGCCGGTATCTCGGCGTCGGAGTTTGCCGTGTCTGTCTGCCCTACGCTGATCGGACGGAACTGCAGCTTCGTTCAGCATCTGTGCACTGATCTCGGATGTATGTCTTACGCTGTTGTTGAACATCGTCCTGGTAGCCATTGGCGCAAGCGGCATTTTAGTTACCAGTCACTTCTGATAATAGTAGTGAACCAGTCGTAAGTCACTAGTCGATATTCACACTTCACTGTTACGCTTCAACGTTCGAGGGTGAGCACCGCCGCTATTAATAACAGTATCAATTGGTCGCTACCGGCTTTACAATTACGCGACGGTGCGTCGCCATCAACGCCCATCCCGTTTGCTCCGATGTTTGTCTTCGTAGCGATCAGTGACGAGCAATCGATGCTTTTGACACAAGGAATTTTCAATCACAGCAAAAGCATCAGCAGCGATAAAAGTTCTTATCGCAGCAGCAGCAGCAGCAGCAGCACGGAGCAAACTAGTAATAATCTCGACAGTATCTTCCACAGAGCCAGCTGCATTGACAGCGAAAACGATCGAAGTGTTAGAGCTATATCAGTAGCTCTCACCGTTGGCGAAAGTCTCCTCGGAGGTGGACTCATCCTGCAAGACGTCTGCGATGGATGTTCGTAGCCCGGTCTAAGCCTTGTTCTCTGAGTGCTATTAACTGCGTTGCATGTTAGTGTTGGGCGGTCGGGTTATGACGGCAGTAGCATGGAAGCCACGGAAAATAGAAACAGAAAGAAAACCTACTGAGAAGGTGCAAGGGATCACGGAAGCAGGGAAATACGGATAATAGGAGAAGTGCGGTTTAATTTGCACGTCGACTCTGCACGGACATTTTTAGTTTCTCCAGAAATAGCTACTATCACAGCATTATTTGTTTTCTTCATTCCGCTGTGAATCCGCAACGTACCCATACTGGCAACTCTTGCTGGACAGACTACTGATGTCGTATCGATACGCCATCAGTTATGCAGTGTCACCTCCTCCATCGCAGCTGAGTGAGTTAAAGGAAGAAGAATATCAGATTCTGGCCTTTGTTCCCGATCCGAGGACGAGTTGATCAGGAAAAAAGATAGAGACGAGAGCATTTTTTTGTCACTGGAAAAAAGTTCATGGAGTGCTACTGTGAATGGTCAGCTGCCATTAATCGGGCTCCCGGTTGCCCACCGGTCACCGGTTCAGTTGTCTGGTCTGCCTGAGTACCACCCACCTACAAGTGTTCATTGAGCCTAGTAGTAATTAGAGGAAAAAGTGCTGGTCGTCGGCGAGAGTTCGACGAGAAAACCTAAAAACGTCGTTAATGTCTTCACTTGTGGTGATCAAAATAAAATGTATGTGAAGTACAATTGATTACTATTACTATTATTATTGTTGTTGTTGTTATTAATTTTACTTGGGTTCAGTTGGTTATTATTGTCCTTCCCTGACGGATAGAAAAACGTTCGTCCTGCGACGTAACGAAGTTCGGTGCGCGTTCGTCCCGCAAAATCTGCGCAGCTGAAGGCAGTTTGTCGAGTCGAAAGTCGGTCTGTTAACAGTGCGGAATTAAGAGTGCGTTTGTCATTGTTTTCGAGGAGTATATATATATGTATACATATATATACATATATATATATTGTATATATATTGTATATATGTGTAGGAAGAGAGAGTTTTACGGATCGCTTTCGGGTTAGCTCTGTCGTTCTTAAGGCGATAGCACAACGATCGCACCAACGATTTAGCCCCTGTTGTGTGGAAATCTGCTGGATGTGCATGTGAAAGTGTGGATGTCCGTATACCCGTCCGATTTCGTTGTATTGGACTTCTCGGACTTTTGTTCAGGTTTGTGTTTTATTGAACCTTACGTTGCTGACAACAACAACAACAGCAGCAGCAGCAGCAGCAGCAGCAACATCGGCAGTTGACGCTTGAGTGCAGCGATTGAGGTTGGCGACGAAGCAGCCCTGAGAGAAATTTTGAAAGGCGAAAAGAATGTCGACTGGTAAGCGATTAGCTAAACGCTCGATCTTGGGAAGCCGGGTCTGCGCGCCTACAGAGGAGGGCATCTATATGCCCGGCCTAATCCAGGCTACGAAAACCGACGCCCGAAACGAGAACATCTACACTATTTCGTTCCTACACAATAAAGGTTTGTATATGATATTGCTTGGACCATGTTAGATTGGCACCACTATTAAGGCGTTTGCGATCGTTACTACATCGTACGCTAAGCTACGCGTAAACGTCCTCAATAACATGACTTTTAGCAATTCTTTTATTATTTTGCTTAGTGCATGTGTGTCTAGCATTGGGCGTCAAGCCCAATGGGTCGTGAATTACGGGACCGATGAGTCTTTCAGTTCATCGTCATAGTTTTGCCGGTTATCAGCTGCTGGCCGCCGCTGGCAACCAGCGATGATCGAGTGCGCTGAACTGAGTAGAGGCTCTCTCTCGGCGGTTCTTCCTCGCCCGCGCTTGTCCCTACGCTGTCAATATACTTCTCACGATGACGCCGGTAGCAGCAGTGGCGATGGGCTAGCGACAGCTGCCGCGATCGCCACTGCTAAACGATGCGGTAGAGGGACACGGTTGCCATAGAGGGGGCGAATCGGCAGACAAGCAGACTGGTGGGCATGCAAACAGGCATGTTAATGGACATATAGAAAGGCAAGTGAACATCCACCGGCAGAAGGAACGGAGGCCGGTGTGCATAACAGGAACGGCCCTGGCAACAGCAGCATCCGCCGCCATCATCACCACCGCCCGTGGCCTTAGACAGTCCTTGAAAGAGAAAACCAGCCAATCGGGCATCCAGCTAGTCAGCCGTACGAACAGCCAGCAGAGCCAACTGCAGCGGGAACATACGAACAACCGAATAAAGAGCATTCAGCCGCCGCGGCCGCCGGTTGACATAGAACAGCTGAGGTCCTTTGCTGTCGCCTGCCGTCATCGGTCCATGCAGCATGCTACTGCCCCTGCCACTCAAACCGGGAGTGACTTCGACTAAGCTGCTGCTGCTGCTGCTGCTGCTGCTGCTGCTGGCGAGCTAAGACAACGTAGTTGGCCTTAACCGGCCTCAGCCTGTGCAGTGCGATGACTTCCTATGGGACCCGACGCGAACACAGATAATGCGCTATGTTACTGTGGCGAGGTTACGAGAAACCTTATAGTACTGTCACTGGCGTCTTCTATCTGGTTGTGGTCAGTAGAAGCTGCACCGCTATGCAACCAAGAGAGGGTTAATGGGTGATGTTGCGGATGCCAAGAACAGCTTCTGGCGGAATCACCCACCGGTCTATACGAGATTGACCTACGAATACTACTAGTTGCGGTAGTTAACCCCGCTGTTGCGGCTTGTGTAACGGTGTTACAGGTGCTATCGGCATTCGAATGTAATAATACATGCCAGTTGAATATATGTGGTTGTATCTCGGTTAAGATGACAAGTTTATTCCAACTTCACTTTCAAGTAAATGCTATTGATATAGGGACAAATCAATTCAGAATCGTTTCCAGCCATATGCGTCTATTTTGTGAGCAAGTTTGCAACTGGCAAAGCCGCGGTCCCTGCCATAGCGATAGCACCACATTGAAGGTGCACAGGATGGACGCGGCGGTCCTTTTTAATTTTTCCCTCTATGATTTTTTTGTTGTTCGATGCCAGCGTGTTGAGTGTACGCATGAGTAACAATAAAATAGTACGTAGGCGTAAAATGGACGGTTATTACACGTGTGTGTGTGTGTGTGTGTGTGTGTGTGCGTGCGCGTGCGTGCGTGCGTGCGTGCGTGTGTGTGTGTTTGCCTGTTCCTTTTGACCTACGATGTACCTGTGATCGGCCGTACATTCCGCTTTCGCCGATTGCGCCGGTGATATCCTTGATACGTTAACGCCATAATAATGTCGTCAATAAAGCCCGTGTTGTTGTCGTTGATGGCCATCATCGTCATCGTCATCACCATCATCATCGTGATCATTGGCGCCGATGTCCTAACACTCAGTAAGGAGCCCTCTCCCGTCCCCGCAGCCCCCTTCCGTAGCATTACATTATAGCAAATGCATTGCCTAGCAGCAACAGTGTTAAAAGCAGCCTTCGTACATTCGGGGTCACGGGGAGATGCGGCAAACAACTAAGTCCTCGCTTGCCAAAGAAACATTGTGTAGTCATACCACTGCAGTGTGATGTGTCCCGTCGAAAAATGTTTTAATTTTATGTGTATAGATAAATAGCTCTTGTCCATGTAGCGCCCCACTCCAGACGCCCATACAGGTACAGATAGAAATAATCGTAGATCGGGCAAAAAGGGATTGAACGTGCCGGGTAACCCTGGATTTGACCAGCAGCATCTGAAAATTGGTGGTTCCGGACGATACTGATATTGTGTCAGTCGTAATTGCCCCATGGGTTCGATGATGGTAATAATACGTTTAGCATTGTTCGCTATTCCTCGTTACAATGGTAACTACTTAAGCTGGGTTGTGAGACAGCGAAACAGTCATTCGAGCGCGTCCGCTTCCCCTTCCCATATATATACACATACATATATCTATGGTAATTAGTGAGGGCTACTTCATAGCTACCCCATCCGACTGGCCCCATCATTTATCGTTTTTATCGCCTTGTCGTTGACGCTGTTGCTACTACAGTCACCGTCAAAACCACCATTAGCGCGGCCGCTGTCGCTGGCATCGCCCACCGCCTTTGTGCCAATAGCGGTGCCTCTTCAGATCAGCTGGTGCCGGCGAAGCCACTTCAAGCATCCTGTTTTCCACTGACGCGCTGGCCCCGCTGCTGCTGGCGAGCGCTTCCGGCCAGAGGCGGCCGCTGCCGTCGTCATCGCCAGAGCAGTAGTGGCTGGCTGACAGGCAGGCAGGCTGGACGCCCGCCAGAGCGCGGTCCGCATCGCAGCGATCGTCGCCGGTCGGCCGAACATCGGCGTGCCTGCACTGGGGCTGCTGCTGCTGCTGCCGGCTTCGTTAGCAGCGCGATCACCGGCGCATCAACGACGATAGCAGCTGGTACCTTTGTGGAGGCAGCGTAATCGTCCTTGATGATCACAGTCGCCAATGCACCGGCAGCAGTACATCGTTGTTGTGGCTACCGCAGCTGCTCTGCCACTACGCAGTCGACAGCATCCGACCAAAGAGCAAACAACCGTTCGCTGTTGAACGGACGCACTGATGTGCCACCAGTGCAAACCTGGGCTGGCTGACTGACTGGCTGGCGGGCGGGTCGTTTCTCTAGCTCGATGCTAGGCTGCCACCGTTGTACTGCTGCAATCGCAGCAACAGTGGCTTAGAAAACCGCCCGGTGCGTACTGTCGACGCGCGCCAGCCGTAGGTCGCTGCTGAGACGCTGATTGCGATGGCGGCAGCGGCAGTAGCAGCAGCAGCAGCAGAAGAAGCCGTAACGAAACAGGCAGAATCAGTTGCGATAGCGCATTCGGCGGTCGAGGACGATCGATGCGGATGGTTCGCTTTGAATACTTGCGAAAAATCTTGCTTATCTAAAGGCTCACTCGATCTGACTGCGGGTGAACCGAGAAGATGAACTATCACCGCCGCTATTCTGCGCATTGGAAAAGAACGAACGATCCCCACCCATGTACCAAAAAAATAGGTGTAATCTATCCGTGATAGTAATGGGGTTAGTTCTAGTAATGCGGTGATAGTTGTGTCTGGATGAAATGCGTAACGACATGCAGCTCGAAATATCTAGCGTACTAGTTGTGTATGAAAAATAATGCTCGTTTGGTAAGGTAGTTGAGTTTTTTAACGTTTGCTAATCCCTGCCACCGCGGGCCAGTCGTCAGCGACTGTCGTTGTTGCGTGAGCGGGAAATCACGATCCGATATTATTGCTGACTTTCCAATCGATAGACGTGGCGAGAATAGGCGAGCAGGTATATTTACCGCTTCAATATGAATATATATATGACTAATTACCATATGTATGAAAAATACGCTTATTATATAATGGTAGGTATTGAACGATGCGGCTAGAATCATCTCTAACGGAATAGCTTGGGCCAACCTTACAGATAAAATTTATGACCACAACGATTTGTTTGGCATTGGCCTTTAGGTAAGAAGCAATGAACGAGATATATATATGTGTGTATATATATATGTGTGTGTGTATATATATATATATATATATACACATATATATATATACACATATATATATATACATATATATAAATATGGAGAGAGCCGTCATTGTGTGCACCAGCACAACGGCGACAGTGGACAACGACATATTGTCGCTGTTCACTGTCGTCGAGTTACGCTCATTGCAGCTCTTCGTTATCTGCTACTGAGCGTATGGGCCCGCAGCACCGACTTAGTATAGCTTTGTTCGCCTGCGGTGTTGTGGCCTCTGTGTGGGCGCCGCAATTCACGTCTCTCGATCAGCTGGCGGTGCGGCGGTGGCGGCTGCTGCTGCTGCTGCTGCTGTTGTCGAGGTGCGTAGGCCGCCGTCAACGTTGCCGCCGCTACTGTCGTGGGGGTCACCCCGAGTGTGAGTGAGTTCTGGCGTTGCTGCAGCAATGGCCTCTCACCCATCAGCGGCGGCCATGGTTGCCTCTAGCGCCGCTGTTACCGCCAACGGGTTGCTCCGTTGGTTGTTGGCGAGGCGCCAACGGCGGCGACATAACCTGTACAGTCAGTGCGCTTAGTTAGCCAACAGCTGATGGCCGATCGACTGGGCCGAGTACGCGGCATCGCACTTATACAGTGATTCACGCACACTCTCGTCCACTTAACTTCTCTGTCTCTTTTATTTTGGCTCCTTCCACTGTTTGGCTCGATGCACTCTGGACTTTCTATGTAAACGCTATGTACTATAGAAAGGCCACGGTAGGATGTTGCGGTTAGGGTATGATTGAAGTTTTGGCCCGATCTCGCACTGGGTCGAAGTGGCAACGATTGACCGAATGGTCCCATATGGGTCGTCATGACATCGTCGTTCACGTCGTACGCTACCGACAGTCACACAGACAGACAAATAAGCGACAGACAAGAGACGAAGAGAAACACGTACGACCAGGTCTGGGTTTGGCCTGTTTTGTTAGGTCCTTCCCTTCTCCAGTTGTGCCCAAAATTTCTGCTTGAGGCATGGCTGACTCCAGCCGCGGTTACGATGTTAGC